AATCAAGAATAAGTAGGGGGATTGGGTCTCCCTGTAGAATACCTCTCGTTGGTCTGAAAGATTCAAGTTTCTCACCATTGAAAAGCACCGAGAAAGTTACCGATGAAACCATGCCAGTCATAGTATTTATCCATTGACCTACAAAACAAAGCTTTGCCGTGATAGCTCTCAAATATGACCACTCCAACCTATCATAAGCCTTCATCATGTCGAGCTTCAATGCACAAAATGAGTTAGCTTTTGACCTGGATCTCTTCATGAAATGTAGACATTCATAGGCGCATATGATGTTGTCAGTTATCAACCTTCCTGGAACAAAAGTTGACTGCTCCTCCAAAATTATATGTCAGGTAAAATAAGTTTCAATCTATTTGCTATCACCTTTGAGGCTATCTTGTATAAAAAATTGCATAGACTTATTGGTCGAAACTGGGATAATACTATTGGGTTTGTGACCTTGGGGACCAGTACCAAAACTGTGGCATTGACGCACTACGGGCTTTCTTCCCCTCGTACTATCCTCAGAACAATACTTGTGCCTTCATCTCCACAAATGTCCCAATGGCGCTGATAAAAATGAGCCGGAAAACCATCAGGGTCCGGCGCTTTTGCTGGGAACATCTGGAACAATGCATTTTTCACTTCATCCTTATTATATGGCGCACACAGAGCTGTGTTCATTTCATCAGTTACCTTCCGGGGTACATGCTGTAAAACAGCCCCCATATCCTATATGCCCTTTGATATGTGTTTGATAAAAATCATTGGCCATAGCCATCAACTCTGCAGGGTCTGTTATAACCGCACCAAGGGAGTTCTGTAGAGACTTTATCATGGTTTTCTTCCTTCATAAACTAGCATGAAGATGAAAGAATTTGGTGTTCTTGTCACCCACCGACATCCATTCAATTCTAGCCCTTTGATGCCACATGATTCCCTCTTGGTGGTACATCTCAATTAAAAGTTCATTTACCTTTAATTCCACATGAGTCGGCGTTGTCCTCGCCGGGTCACTCCTGAGCTCTTCTAAAACACTCTTCAGGTGCTTTATTTCTTTCCGAACACTGCCAAAGGTATCCCTGCTCCATCTGTTCAGCCCCTTTGATAAGTTGTTTCATTTTTGTCGCATCTCTTCTACTGATAGACACGGTGGTCCAGCTCCCCAACTAGTAGTGAGTTGGTCCCGAAAACCTTCATGCGATTCCCACATTAGTTCGTATTTGAAAGGTCATTGTGCTTGCACCCCTCTGAACATGCAAAGTCAAATTAACAAAGGCGAGTGGTCCGAGGTAGAACCCGAGAGATTTGAAATAGATGCCGCTGGAAACTTGGCCATCCATCCATCATTAACCAATGCTCTATCTAGTCTGCATCTCCATCCAGCATTAACCAATGCTCTATCTAGTCTGCATCTTGTATAGCTGCCACCTGAAACCTTCTTCTCAAAAGTCCAAAAATTGCCCTTGAACCCCAAGTCTAGCAACATGCAGAGGTATGTGGTGTCTCGAAAGGCCTGAATTTGAGCGTTGCTGCGCTATCCCACCCCCTCATGCTCTTCCGGGCGTAGCACTTCGTTGAAATCACCCATGCACAACCATGGGAGCGAGCTCAAGGTGGTAATGTTCTTCAAAACTGTCCATGTTTGATGCCTCAAGTGTGTTTGTGACTCACCATATACACATGTCAGCCTCCATTTTTCATTGTTATTTTCCTCAAATGATACATCAAGATGATAAACAGAGTAACCGAGAATCTCCACTTTTATTGAATTATTCCAAAAAAGACCAACACCACCACTCCGACCTTGACTACTAACAACATAAGAATTATCAAAACCCAAAGTACCAACTAAAGCTTCTACCCTAGCCCCATCTATATGTGTTTCAACTATGCATAGTAGGGTAGGGAAAAATTTCTTCGCGAAATCGTGAAGCCCTTGAACTGTTGCGGCTTTGCCCACACCACGACAGTTCCAACAGAAGGCACTCATTTGGCTCGGCGGCGCCCGTCATTCGGGCCTGCCAACTTTAGATCTCCTCTTGCTTGCATGCTGTTTTTTGCCGGGGTGTTCTTCTTTGCTTCTAGTATCACCTTCGCCCTCTTTGGGTCCTGTTTACCACTCAGGCTAGGAGGAACCTCAGGAGGAGGTAGAGCCAATGGGTTGAGCCGCTATGAACTAACTGATTCTTTTGCTGGTAGCACAGCCCTTGCAGCCAATTCCAAAGCTCTCTTCCTATTATTCTCAGCATCTTGCATATGAGAGTCAAAATATTCTCCATGCTCCGTATCATCTCCATAGCCTTCATAATGCGAGCTTTCTTGCACTTCCCTTCCGCGAACCCCGCCGCGTCCTCCTCTGCGTCCGCCTCTTCGGCCGCGCCCGTTGCCAGGTCCTTGCCCGGTCCTCATCGTCCAAGATGCTCACAGGTCCTTGAAGATCAGTGCTGACGGTGGACGAATTCCATTCCCGTGTTCCTTGAAAAGATGACCCAGCATACCACAGACTGCACACCAATCGGGAAACTTCTCGTACTTGACCCGGTAGATCTGGCGCTTCCCATCGCGTATCATTGATAGTGCATTCTTTAAGGGCTCCATAACATTGATTCTTATCCAGACACGATAAAAATTTCCTGCAAAATCCTGCGATGGTGGTTCAGCAAAGAGAACCTCTCCAACCTTTGCCGCAAGGGCCGGCACTAGATGTGCAAACAGATCTGGAACATCATGGATCTAAGCCCATATTTCTATAGTGTCAAGCTGAACTGTTGAGGGTTTTACAAGTCCATCATATGGCTTGACGATCACCGCATCCCCTCTGAAGTGCCAACGGCCATCCTAGGTGACTCTTTCCCAATCTCCTAAGGAAGAGAATTGGGCGGTGTATAGGTTGTCCTCCAATGGCTTGAATTTCACTTCCTGCGCGAGATCCCATGTCGCCCGCATGTTCTTAAAGAACCAAAATTGGCTATAGGTTTTGCTTGAGTGAACCTAAGAAGGGCAACCCATCTAGCGGCCTCCGGTGGAACCTCCTTCTCGCCAAAAACCACGTCGTCCAGATCTTCCTCTGTCAATCCCAGCTCCTTCATCATCTTTTCCACGTCCTCGGTCTCCGCTTGACCCGCCGTCGCAGATCCCGAAGCCTCGTTCGATGACATCCTGATCCCTAGCCCGATAAAAATGATCGGACCTTCTTGGTGAAACCCTAACCCTCCACCGTCCCAGTATCTCTGGTACGAGAGCACGGATCAGGGTAGGCATTGCGAAGGTAGGGGAAGACTGTCTCGAAGGCGACAGAACGAGTCGCCCCGGGAGAAGCAAAACCCTAACGAGAGGGAAAAAGTCTGGCACATGTAGCCAAGCACTCGGCGTGGAAAGTTTCGCTTCAACCTAGACGTAGCCGAGCCTTGACAAGGTCTAGGGCTAACGACATTATCACATACCGTAGGTACATTGCCTAAAGGCAGGTTGGGCCACTAGGCCGACCTCAGGGCCCAGAAGGCCACGACCTTGGACCCTTAACTTGCCAGTGGGCCTCTCTAGAAGGTCTGCATCAACATGCTGCACAAGACAACCATAAGGGAGGCAGCGGACTCTCAGATCATCTGTATATTTCTATTCCTGGTGGCGAGAACTTTTAAAACAAGACCACCCTTGAATATATTTCAACAAGTTTCAAAATTCACGGTGAAACACTATGGAACTATACGAAACCATGATATTTTCTTGAACTAGTTTTACGCCCCGAGCACAATGTTACACTCTAGAACACAACGACCCCAAATGAAACAGGGTATAATCTGTTGTTATCTACGTACTTTTCGTACTTGCATGAAATAGCTCAAAGCACACTGACACATGCTGACACAATAAATTTACTCTGGACCATAATAGACTACAGTGAAATTTAAACTTTTGTTACAATAAAACCTATTGTCATTTACAAACTCTGAGATTCCTCTGAATCAATTTGATGCACGCTGAAACATAATGTAATATTATGATACACTATCGAACAAGGCGAACCCTAGTGAAATGATATGATTGTTTTTTAAGCTCAGTGAAACAATATTGATTCTGCTTTTCATATGAAATTGTTGAATTTAGATGAAACAAGTTTTTAGAGTAGTGTAACACAATGGTGAATCATGTGTATAGTTTCATAAAGTTTCTATAGTATCATAAAGTTTTACCGTATTTTAAAATCCTAATTTTAAATCTTGTCAAAATATATTCATGATTGGTCTTGTTTAAAAGGACTTGTTTCATGGACGCAGAATAGTTTGAAGCACACAAAAACACTACCATGTTCTAGTGCACATTGGAAAAAAAGGAAAAAACAAGGTAGCATGATGACACAATGAAACATTAACATGCACGCTAAACAAAATATAGAACATCACGATACACTACGAAACATGATATCCAACTAGCTTGACGTGAAGCAAGTCTAAGAATCAGAGTTTTATAGTTTTATCATGCTTCAAATTCACTGAAATATAGTTGCGGCCGGTCTTGTTTGAAAGATCTCGTCCCACAAGGAACTCAAATATACCAACGGTCCATGAATCAAAATTTTGGTTCATGATCTATGTGGGTTTCAAATATCATAGTCGACTTAAAATAGAGCGTATAGGACACAGGTGACCTAGGTCAATACTGATCCGTACGCGCGCGCGCGTGGGGGGGGGGGGTGGATGCAGGCCTCGCTCCGCTCGCTGGTCAGAAGTTAGCCTCTCTTTATATATACTTGAGATCAGAGGGTATTGGCTACCTACAGCACCACTGTACGTTTGGGCGTGACTTGCCCAAATGGATGCGATCGATTTCGCAGCAACCATGGTCACCTCAAATCTCAACCCCACTCGACGAAGGGAAATGGATTAGCCATATTCAGTAAACAAATCTTTCCCGAGAACATCACAGAAATTCATTAAGCAAAATAATAGTGAAAATCATCAAAGGAGCACTTGTCTAGCATTTGTGTTGCGTACACAAAACTAACGCTTGCCCATGCAGTAGGACACAAGGACATGTGCGAGGCTCTTGGGGCGCGATGCTCTTGGGTCGATAGGTTTCCACATGTCTCCCGTGTGCGGGATAATCCTCTCATCTTCCCATCTCTCAATAAAACTTCGGTCGTCCCCGGGGCGATGCGCGCAAACCCCCGCTTCACACATCAGACCCTCGCCGTAGTAGATGAAATTGGCGTCGACGGCAGGGAGGCGGTCGGCGTCAACAGAGAGGGAGCACCGGAGGCCGAGGAAGAGGGCACGGTTTCCGATGCTGTTGACGGGCACCAGCGTTTTCCTCACGAGGTCCACCCTGAAGACCTCCATGCGGGAGTAAACCGGAATGCGCAGCAGCAGCAGCTCGCCGGCGTTGTCCACGAGTAAAGTGGGCGTGGCTTGCCAGTTACTGCTGGGGACGATGACGGTGATCTGAGGCTTGTTGTGCCGCCGGGAGAGCTCGACTAGCGCAACCGAGCCGCTGGAGTGGGCAGCGTATACGCGGCCCTGGAAGGCCACCACGGCGGTGAACCCGCGAAGTGCCGGCGTGGGCTTGACCAGCGGCGGAAAGAAAACACAGTTCTGGTCGGCCCATGCTAGGTGGTGGAAGTTGTAGAAGCTGAAGAGCACCATGGGCGACGAGCCGGCGACGACCACGCTTCTGTCGAAGGGATGCACCGGTGGCACTCGGAAACGGAAGAGGGTGCCCGTGAAGGGGTTGAGGACGCAGAGCCTGCACATATCAGGCTCCTCCAGGACGAGCAGGCCACTGGCCGTGGCGAGGTATGTGTAGCTGCGTAGCACGGAGAGGCGTTTCCGCAGGAAACGCCCGGTGTCGAGGTTGAGGAAGAGGCGGGAGTCTTGGTCGACGTCTGGCCGGGTCTCCTCGAGCATGATCCACCGGCGGGGGTGAAAGCGGGGGTCGGTGCCGTGCGGGTCGGCGGTCGCGGCTCGCCAGCCGTGGCACACGCTCCGGAGTGTCATGTAGTAGTCGAGGTCGGTGGTGGCGAGGAAGACGTCGGCGACGGCGCGGACGAAGTTGGATGGGAGGGACGACCAGTCCGCCGCCATGGCCATGGTCGCCGATGCTATGAGTCTGCTTTCGTGGTGTGGAGGAGCAGAATACAAATGGATGCGGGGACACGATGGGGCGCGCTCGGGGAGCCAGCAATTACTGCGATGTGACGCTGTGTCTTCTGCGCCGCTTTGGAGAGTGAAGCACTTAACTAACGCGTCCCATTAATCAACCACTTCTGCATCATTTGGTGCATGACGATCGCGTAGTGGCCAGGCACGACAGCACTAGCAGTGTCTCGTGCAATTCCTTTCTTTTTGGACGTCGATATGTGCCGAACGTTCGGTGTTGGGATGTCCCAGCCCGAACGAATCGTTCGGCAGGAAGTGGGGGATCGATCGAACGATTTTGTTCGATCTGAAAATGTCCCAGCCCGAACCGATCGAGTATTGTCGCGAGTGAAAACCTTGTTGCTAATGCAAAGCCCACGAAGCCTAGAAAAAGGAATATGAATTGGGCCCAAAAAATATAAAACAAGATGCACGGGGCAGCAAAAAATGGGCCTGTTACGGCAAAAGCTCACAAAAATACCCTTAATTGTTAAAAAACACAAAACTCCAGAATCTGTAACACACAAACAAAAGGTAGTCTGCTACATTTCTATGTTCAAGATGTAAAAATCATCAATGTTGCAACATAGCAAAATCTGTATAGTGTCAGAATTTGCCATGAAAAAAACATCATGCCAAAAACATTGTTTTTAAGTACTCAAAAAATCAAAAATCGCCATGAATGTATTCATATATTAAATAAAAATGCCATGACTCACAAACTAGAGTGCTATACATAATTAATTTGACATGAATGTATTCATACATGGATGTGTACTCCATGCAATTAAGTTGGCATGCTCTATGCAAGACTTGGCATGGAAAATTTGCCATGGAAAGAAAAAGTAAAATTTGCCATGTGAAAAAAGCAATTTTACCATGGAGCAATAGTCCAGATTTTGCCATGGCAAAAATAGAGTAAAATTTGCCATGGCTATAGAAGTAAAATATACCATATTGCATAGCAAATTTGCATTGATCTAAAAATGTAAAATTTGCCATCATACATAAATTAAAATTGCCATGTTTTTATGATAAATTTGCCATCTATGTAAAAAAATCACAAATTATGAAAACAAAATGACATGGCATATGAATATTCAAAATTGCCATGGCGTTTTGGTCATAATTGGCATGCTTTGTATAAGAAAATTTGCCATGGTATTTTTTAAATTGTCGTGTATGTGAAAAACACAAACAAATGATCAAAAATTGCCATGGCAAACTGCATTCAAATTTGTCATGGTATGTTTACCAAAGTTGCCACCTTTTGCGTAATAAACTTATTGTGTATGTGAAAAACACAAACAAATGATCAAAATTGACATGGCAAAATGCATTCGAATTTGACATGGTATATTTACCAAAGTTGCCATCTTTTGCACCCGTCAAAAAAAGTTACCATCTTTTTCATAATAAAATTGTTGTGTATGTTAAAAACACAAACAAATGATCAAAATTGCCATGGCAAAATGCATTCAAATTTGCCATGGTATATTTACCAACGTTGCCATCTTTTGCGTAATAAAATTGCCGTGTATGAGAAAAACACAAACAAATGATCAAAATTTCCCTGGCAAATTGTATTCAAATTTGCCATCGTAGATTTACCAAAGTTGCCATCTTTTGCACCCATCAAAAATAAAGTTTCCATCATTTCCTAATAAATTGTCGTGTATGTAAAAAACACAAACAAATGATCAAAACTGCCATGGCAAAATGCATTCAAATTTGCCATGGTATATTTACCAAAGTTTCCATCTTTTGCGTAATAAAAATTGCCGTGTATGTGAAAAACACAAACAAATGATCAAAACTGCCATGGCAAAATGCATTCAAATTTGCCATGGTATATTTACCAAAGTTTCCATCTTTTGCGTAATAAAAATTGCCGTGTATGTGAAAAACACAAACAAATGATCAAAACTGCCATGGCAAAATGCATTCAAATTTGCCATGGTATATTTACCAAAGTTGCCGCCTTTTACGCAATAAAAATTGCCGTGTAAGTGAAAAACACAAACAAAAGATCAAAATTGCCATGGCAAAATGCATATTCAAATTTCCCATGGAATTTTTATCAAAAATGCCATGCATTATAAAAGGATTTTGCCATGAATGTGAAATAATACAAAAAAATGATTAAAAAAATTGCCATGGCAAATGCATGTTCAATTTGCCATGATTTATAAACTATACATATCATGGTTGCAAGACAAAAAAATTTGCCGTGGGGCTGTAGAGTTAATTTAGCATGGAGTACAAACTAAATTTACCATGGGCTATGAAGTTTTACTATAAACATAACACACTGGACTAGTTCTGAACTAGTTTGCCATGAACTATGTGCACAAATGCATCAAATTTGGGTCAACTTAGCATCACATTGCATTATTTGAAAGTGGAAAAAAATGAAATTCACATATAAGTTTGGTCCCATTGAGCGCCACAGTGAATTTGACCCAATTACTGTGGGTCGACGTCATGGCACATACAAATTATGACTAAATTTGGGTCAAGTTAGCATCACATGCCTTGACTAGAATTATAGTGAATTTGGCACATACATGAGCATCACCTCATTGATGAAATGAGGACACATAGTTCCTCAAATAGAAAATTGTCATCTCCAAGTTGATACAAAAACTAACTACACAAATATGTGAAGTTCCCATCGGTGGAAAACACACAAAAAAAGTTGACCTCTAAACTAGTTACCATGGCAACAATTCATGACAAACATATGTGAAGTTTTCAGGAGCAAAAAACACAGTAAAAGAGTGACATCTAAACTAGTTGCCATTGCAACACTTCATGGAGAACATTTGCTTTAAGTTGTCATGTATTTACTGATACAATTAAGTAGAATTATAGTAAGACGTAATCACAAAATTTCATTGGGCCTCTAATCCATCATAGCATGGCAATTTGCAAAATAAAATGAACTGGAAAAACTGAAACGAATGAGTTGATTAGGATGTTACTGCAGGGAAGTGATCCAACGCTGGGGCCTTGTGCACTGTATCGATGTAGCTGCGGCTGCGCGTTGCCATAGTGAGATTCAGCATGGCGCGGACCGCGCGTGAGAGGTGGTGAGGCCACACCGCGCCCGCTTGAGAGGTGGTGAGGCCCCTGTAGCTCCGTGCTCGCGTCGGACGGAGAGCTGAGTTGTTCGCTCTACGGCTTGCTGTCGCTGTCCGGCGCGGCGGAGGCGAGGCAGAACGCGATGGCGGAGTGGTATGGCATCGTGGAAGCTCTCTGTCTCCATCATCCGCATCTGCAGCTCAGCACCCTGAACTCCTTCGTCCCCGCACCACCTGCAGGACGTTCCTCCTCCGGCTGCGGCTGCGGCACCGGCTAGCCGTCGCTGTAGTCGGGCTGGCCCGACCACCCCATCAACGGCGCCCACCACTTCGAGCCCCCGCTCCTGTCGGCGCCGCGGAACCTCGCCCCGCCGGTGGCAGCGACTTCGCACGAGCAGAGTCGGCCGGCACACACCCCTCGTCGGCGATTATGGTCGGACGGAATCAAATGCGGTGGTTGTTGTGAGTGGAGAAAGTGAAGGAGTGGGGATAGTGAGGGATGAGAATGAATGGATAAGACTGGGTCGTGTCGAGTGCGAGAGAAAAACAGTTCGCGCCCACCGCCCGCTCCCCCGAACGACTCACACAGGTGACGTGGCGACTATACTGCATCAAAATTAGTGCGCGAAAATCAGACGGTGGATGACACGTTCGGGGCGAGATGCAAAAACATAGCACGTTCGGGACTTATAGATCCCGTTCTTTTTTTCTTTTATACTCCCTCATTTTCAGTTTATAGGGCTTAATTCAAAAATCTCACCAACAAAGATAGATGATGAGTGGTGGAATAATTTTTGTAGTTTGCAAAAGCAGCTAATTAATTCTCTTGTTTTCCTCAAAAAAATTATGTTTATCAATACATTAATTGCAATGCATGCATGCATAAAATACATGCATTGATCAATTTTCTTTTATTACTTACATGCATAAAGTATATTTGCTTTTTTTATGATAACTTTAGTGTAAAATATGTCAGGGTGGTGTTACTTCGTGCCACACGTGTGACACTTATCATTTGGGGTACAAATATATGTTATGCAACAATACCAAATTAAGCATGGCACTTCCTTTGCCAAGGTCATCGTTGAAGCAAATATACATTTGTTTATATTTTCTGCAGTGGGTAATCAATCATTCTTTTAGCAAAATGTAACATACAATGATAACCAAAAACCGAACCAAATATAAACTTCAGAGTTTTCTCTGGCATGAAGAAGTCACAAAAGGAACTTGGGTGATATAACTAGGTAGTTTGATTTTATCGAAGAAAACATACCATCTACTTTCTGTGATACGGGGGCAAGTCATATTGATGGTTTTCTTCGAGTGTATCATGAGGATCCTGTATTTCTTTTGAACAAATAAAGTTACCAACAGAGAAAAAAGACATAAATTACTGAAGATCTGATAGGCGAGAGATTCTGGCCTTGTCTACAGAAATATATGATAGCTCAAATCTAATCAAATAACAACAACCTTTGTAGGCAAAGAGAAATTCAGAACAACATACAATAGGATGGTAGTTCTAAGCAGAGTTTGATGCCTAAACAAAACACCTTTCCTATGAATGTTGACGCTTAGAGGTCCGTTTTACTTTTGAACTTTGGCTATAAAGGACATCGCTGTAAGAGGAAAAAATTCACAAGCTTTAGAAGGGGGCATAAATAAAAATGCACGCTGCCTTTGCGGCAGACCACGACGCCATCCTTATTATACAAAAACACCACAATCAAAAATCAAATGGGATCAGTAGTTCAGCACATAATCTGAAATTTTGAACATCAAAAAAATGTGAAATAATATGTTAACTGACAGAAATCAAAGCTTACAGGAGTAGTTTCTCAGAAGAATGGCTCATCATGTACAAGC